ATTAATTAATCTAAAATTTATTAATGTAGTTAATTAATAAATATTTAATATTTAGTTATAATTTTTTTAATTATACACATAATTAATTATATGTGAGATATCAAGATATTTAATATTTGGTGATTATAAAAAAAGTGAATTTTATATTTAAATATTGTAATATTATTAAATTGAATACAAATAGTACAAACTTAATGTAATATATTTATTATCATAAAAAATAAAAAATGTGTTTAGAATTTTGGTAGGTATAATTTTTTTTTATTAGGTATTTTAATGTATCACCAACAAAGAGTATGTTGCTAAAAATGTGAGTGGGACTATTTAGAATAAACATTAGCAACAATAGGTATGTTGCTGAAAATATGGGTGGAAGTATATAAATAAATATCAACAACAAGGCATACGTTGCTGAAAATTAGGGGATGTACTATTCCTGAACTTTTAGCAACGTAGCTCTTGTTGTTGAAAATGGGAAAGGGAAACCACTTTGTGCAAAACCACAATTGCCTCTAAACTTCTAGCAATATAAGTCACATTGCTAAAAATATAGTTTCAGCAATATGGCTTTTGTTGTTGAAAATGGTTGAATAAACTCCACCATCGGTTACAGGAATCCGACAAAAAATATTACGAACATAAATCATGTTGCTAAAATTGTTCTTTTGGCAACAGGGGGTATGTTGTTGATACATCAATAACATGGGGTATGTTGCTGATGTATCAGTCACCAAAACTTTTTCAACAAAACTTTCAGCAACAAAAGTTATGTCGATGAAAGACTTTTACTTACACGATAGGCACTTTCAGCAACATGCTCCCATGTTGCTGAAAGTTGAAATTTTAGTAGTGTCTGAGTCTAAGAGCATTCCACCACTACAAGAATAAAGTCATAAAAGCGTCAACATTTTAAACACCAACAATGAAATATTGACGTAAATATATATTATTTGCGTCAACATTATTCATGCAAAAAAAGTTTGTTGTAAAAATTTTTTTCAATGTCAACTAAAAAACATTAGTGTAAGCATTGTTGATGTAAATAGGGCAAAGGTTTGCCAAAACCCAATCCATCGTAATCAATGTTTTAGAAAAATTATAAAAATGATAAAAAGTAACTGGACGAATAAGATCTTACTAATATGATACTATTTCATTCTACTCTATACTTCAGACTTGCTTTAGTGGAGTGGGGATCAACAATATTTTACCATTGCATCAAAACTTGTGTTGATACAAATTATTAGTGTTGTCTTCAAAACCATATCTGAGTTTTCTTGCCTTGCATTTTTCTGAAGCTCTTGTTTACTATTCCTCCTTTCTCCTTCACGAAAGCAACAGGGGACCATTGTTTATCTCAAATTTCAACCATAATTATTAAAGTTTAATCTCACAAAAGAGATAAAAAAAGTAAGAAAATCATTTCTTTAAAAGTTTTTTATTTTTTTTTTCTCAATTTGCATGTTATACGTGCTAAATCTAACTATCTGTCTTTTTTTTTTCTTTGAAATTATAAATTCAAGTATTTAGTCTCTAGAAAAGAGACAAAAGAGTAAAAAGACCATTCCTTTAAAAGGTTTGACATTTGAAACAAGTTTAAAATTACATCTTACATCAAGCGTTTGTGCATAGATCAATATGCAAATGAGATTTAGTTTTTTATTTATTTGGATGAAATATGTTATGTTGATAAAATGATTAATATATTGATATGTAAGTTTATAAATCTTTTTTATGAGG